GTTTTTATGGAACTTAGCTTCACCCCAAGTAGTACATTATCAAATAACTCTCTATTGATTGATTTTATCTAAGGCTTAATCACAAAATAGAATTTTTTTTTTCAAAATATTCCTGAATTAATTATTGTTGTAATTAAATACTTTGCAAAAAATTTCCGCACAAAACAGAATACACCCTTTCCGTATTAAATTACAAAAAGAATTAATTTAGTAAGATTTGGTGATCATTAGTTCAAAATGTTCCATAAAAACGGTTCCGTTAGTTGTATGTCACAACTAACTCATACCACATAGTTACACATTGTCAAACTAGATGGTCGCTGAAAATTTAGGGAGATATTGTTGATAACCATGTAGTAGTACCATATTTTCGTACTTTCGCAGTATTCTACCCAATTCTGTTTTTTCTTTTGTTTGAAGAGTTTTTTTGCGACAGCGTCAAGTCTCTTAAATTAATCTAAATTATTTCTTTTAGGATCTTATTTATATTTTCCATATGCAATTTTTCGGTTATCAGCGGCGGTTTTGCAACTTTCACACCACCATTGGTTCGAAATTCTTCTCTTATGTATTTCGTTAGATGAAAACTTTGGTATTACTAAACTGGCTGCTGTATTAATGTTTGCTATTAGAGTTTGATAGTTTATAGAATTTTCAGCTTCTAGTATAGATGTGTATAATTTCCAATCGGCGTTGTTAAGATTCCAGATCTTGTGACAGTTTTGAGCTGGAAATGAAGTTAGATGGTCTGTTTCCATGTTAATGATAATTGGAAGATGATTGGATCCATGAGGGTCCTGTAGGACTCTCCAAGTAAAAAATTTTGAGATATCTTGTGTACAAAAGGTTAAGTCAATAGCGGATGGACTCTTACTAGTAATGTGGGCGATCCATCATTCAGACATATCAAATTACAATGATCAATACATTCTAAAAGTTTTTTACCATAGCTGTCTTTAATTTTACAGCCTCATGCATACTGTGGGAATTAAAATCCCCACCAATAATAAACAGTTTAGGTAGGTATTTAAAGAATTCCAACCATTGACTTTCCATCTTAGTCTTTGGTTCAATGTAAACTGACACAATATTGATGAGATTTTTACCTCGGAAAATTTTAACTGAAATACATTTATGAGTAAAAGGATATCTATCTTTAAGATTCATTTCTTCGCATCTTAAGTTTGATTTTAATAAAATGGCAATTCCACCATATCCCTCTGCTCGATCTGATCTAAAGCAATTGTAACCTTTAAAATTATAATATTATTTTAATTTAAACCACGTTTCTGAAAGCAATGCTATGGAAATATTATTTTGATATAGCAGATATTCTAGATTAACTTTATTAGCTACTGCTGAACGACAGTTCCATTGTAGCAAATTTATGTTCGCGTTTGTGTCTGTGAATTTGAAGACAAGGTATGGTTAACATGTTTACTAATTAATTCCACTATTTCAGATTTTGATACATCGAAATTGTTTGTTTGTTTTATATTACTTAAAATATTGAGAACTACTTTTAAGATTAAACTTATTGTTGCATTCAATTCCTCTGATTGTAATTTTACTTCAACTGAGTTTTTTAAATAATGTTGACTATTAAAAATTCCCCCTGAGACAAAAGAGGTGTTTGGTTGTGTAAGTATTTCTTTTCTTGAAAGTTTAATGGGATCAGGGCCGGTTAGCCTGTGCCTTTTGTTTGGGTTTAAAATTGTAGGAGAAGAAAACATATATTTAGTAAAATTGTTATTATAGCATTTGGGTTGTAAATTGTGGGACTGTGAGTACTGAGGTTGAGAGGAATGATACTGTATTGTACTAGAAGAGGTAGGTCCAGATTAAAGCCTTTGGGAATAATTTGTCGAGGATATTTAACCACTTTCCATGGCAGAGGTATTTTAAGCGACTATGTTTGCGTACGTATTTCTTGGAACCTGTCTATTTGCATCAAAGAAATAAATATTGCAAGAGCTCATGGTTTCCTTTACAATTTTTTGTCTTTTAAATTCTGGAAAAGCAAACAAATTAGTAGTAAGATGATTGTCTTGAGAGTTAAAGCAGCGTGGGATGTAATCTGAATTATTACAATCTTGTGTGTTATGGGACTCCTGATATTTGCTGCATCTTGATTTACTTCTACACTGACCTCCTAGGTGACCAAAACGGAGGCAGTTATAACATAATAATACTTTCTGGTTATACGGCGCTACTTCCTTGATAACTTTATTAATAGAAATATGTGTTGGTAAGATTTTAAAATTTGTGATTTGAAAATACCAATACAAGATTTTGTGGGTACATATTCTACTATTTAACCTTCATCCGTAATTTTTTCTACTTTACGTTTTATTTTTTTGACATTAGATACTTCAAAAGTGCAATGTTGATCAAATTGTCTTATTTTATCTTTTATGTACGCCTCTGAAAATCTTTTTCTATATCTCTAATAACACCTTGTCTATGAAGAATAAATTTTGAGATAACACAAAGTTATTTTTAACAAAAATGTTTTTGTTTTTATTATTTATTAGAAAATTTGCTGATTTATAATCCCTTAACTTGATCCAAACCCTATTCCTACCTATAGAATCAATACTAATAATTTTATTGTCTATCTCCGGAAAGTTAGAAAAAATTATATCTTCGATTTTAAGTGCATTTAATTTACCTTTACATTCGACCGAATTATTCTCAACATAAATATGATACGGGCCTAAATCAGTACTTACATACAAAAACTCCTCTCTTTCTTTCGATGTGTTATCAATACTCGTTGTTGTTATTTGTATATCATTTTTTGACGAGGTTGGATTTATTAATAAGTTATTTATATTACTTACTGGATGATCTTGGTTGGGAATGCTATTCTTATTAAGAGGTGTTAGCTCTGCACCTGTGGAGATATCCATACTTACACATTTACCAAAAACTATTTTTTTTGACGTATATCTGGCGGCGCAGGGTCATCTGGGGGTTTCCCCCCGACTAACTGGTCCATTTAATTGTTCTTAACTCACAATCTAATTTTATTTTTACATCAAATTTAAAGATTTATAAAACACAATTTTCAAACGAATACAGTTTAATTTCGTTTCGCCTTGTTGACGGGAACGTCCGATTCGTAGGTGAACTAGAACACGACTCTAAATGGTAAAATGTATTTAAAATTTTCAGATAATTAATTGCCCATATTATTAAAAGACGCTCCACTTCATATACGGAAAGAAGTTTAGTCGATTTATATAATTTATATACCGTATATCGATACTCGCGATAACTCAAAATATCTCGTATACAGCTAATTCATACCACATAGTTACACATAGTCAAATTAGATGGTCACTGAAAGTTTGGGGAGATATTATTGATAACCATGTATTAGTACCGCATTTTTTAAATAAAATCTAAATGGTAAAATGTATTTAAAATTTTCAGACAATTAATTGCCCACATTATTAAAAGACGTTCCACTTCATATACGTGAAAAAATTTGGTCAATTTATATAATTTATATTTCGTGTATCGATCTAACTCAAAATATTTCGTATACAGAGTGCGGGATACGACTTTTACCTTCGACAGTGTGACATAAGATGACATGGAAAATAACTTGCATAATACAGACGTTAAATGAGAAGTAAAGAAATTTAAAAAATCTGTCAATAAAAGACTCGATTCGTAAAGATTGTCAAAATTTAAAGATCATAAATGTCCTCCGATTCATAATAATTTTTAATCATAATTTTTATGACACTTTTATGTCTCGCTTAAAAATAATTTTATATAAATACAATTATTATTTAGTTTATATAATAATCTAAATAATGTACAGTTAAATGATATTTATTAATAGGTATATACTTTTTTATAAGTTAAATATTATTTCGTCTGAATTTGACAGGTCTGTCAGAAGTAAATAACGTATGCTATGTTAATTTGTTAGCAGGTGACATTAGTAGAAAACATAATAAGTTATTAAAATATTTTTCTATAATACAATTGGTTTAAAATATAATTAATAAATAAAAAATAAAATTACTTCAGTTAATTGTAAAAATTTTTTAAATTAATTAGTTAATTATTTAAAATTTAAAAGTACAGAAAACATGGTATGAATCTTCGCGCTACTCTACTGTACAACCTACTGTACCATATTTTTTTATGTCAGTAAGGCGAGTTATGCCTGGATTTAAATTTTTAAATAGGGAGTAGGGTAGAAGCGTAGATTTCTGTAGAGTTTTGCCATCTGCAGCTTTTTCCTGATTCAGTAAAATCATCTAAATTTCATCTGAATTCAATGCAAGTTTTAAAACTATTCTTGGTCCGATAAAATCTTTTTACGGAACATATTTTCAAAAACCATCTACCTACTATGTTTACAATTCCCCTAGGAAACTAAGTTCTTGTAGTTGGCTGTATACCATATATCACAAAAAATTTATTTAAAATCCTTTATAAAAGGTATATAATAAAATGCCCAAACGGGCTATCACAAAAATATTGCAAAACGTTTTCGGATTATTAAATCCATCATCAGTGCAAACGAGGTATACATGCTATGAGCCACCAAAATATATGGGTCCAAACCCTTTAAATGATATAAATTTACATTTGATTTACATTATATGTTGTTACATTTTGCAATATCTTTGTGATAGCCCGTTTGGGCATTTTATTATATACCTTTTATAAAGGATTTTAAATAATTTTTTTACTATGTTTACGACAATACTAAGGCAAAATAAATAAGCATCAACCCGTATCGTATCTACTAAAAATAAATTCTTGCAGTTCCCACTATTAACATTATAATGTTTCACTACTCATTCTCTATATAAACATCAATCTTAATAACCGAATGATCAACTTTTAAAATATTAAACTGACAAACTAGCAACTAAACTTAACATCTATTCATTAGTCAGTCTTTTAGACAGTAGAATATAGTTATAGATACTTATGGACAAATATGTAATATTTAAATATGTACTTATTAGGTAAGGAAGCCAATTTAAAAGGAAAACGAGGAGATGAAGGATTTTCTGGTATGCCGGGATGGCCAGCACCTCCAGGATTTCCAGGGCCAAAAGGACAAAGCGGTATAATTCCTAAATACATGATTAGTGGTAAGAAATTTAGACTTTTGAATCAATCGTTTATTTTGTAAGCCTTGGTATAAACATTTTTGGTTCTTTGCATTTCGTTTGATACTGGTCTCTATGTAATATTTATTTGATCTACTAGTATATTAAATCTCATGTCACAGAATAATAAACAATCAGAATGTCCACTCTCAGATGCCGCGTTTGAAGTTTTTCAGCACGCGCGCCATGTTTTAGAAGGATACACATAACACATACATATGATTTGTGAGGTTATGTAATTGTTTATATTTATGTTTAATTATATTATACTTACCAATGTTAATATAATTGTACAGTATGTCTATGATTGCCATACGTCAATTAAACCGGGTTAATTTTGTCTATACACACCACACAAACAACACTGGTTCCCTCTAAAACATGGCGGAACGTCTGCGCGAAGGAAATGCGCGTACTTAATTTTCCATGGAGAGTGGGAATTCTGATTGTTTATTATTCTGTGCTCATAATTTGAAAAGCCTTTTACTTTAATCACTTCTTCCTTCATTTTTATTTTAATCATCAAAATTTACGTTTTTGTTTTCTGATATTTTAATTTTATTAATATTTACTTTTATAACTGCCAAGATAATTAAAAGTAATAATGCAATTGACACATTTTCTAATTTCAGGATATTATGAACATTTTATGTTGTTACCAGACGGTTTAAAGAAAAATATGAAGTTTTTTTAAACTTAATCTAATATTTATCTTTCTCAACCTATTAATATTTGACTTATCCTCTTGTGTCAAAAAGTATTTAGGACCAATGTAACAAAAAAAATAAATAATAAGGAAGGTGGTCTTCGTGTACTACTAAGGGTCAATTATAAAATGTACCTTTAAAGGAACTACTAACCTTCACAAAGAAAGAGATTAAATCAGTATGATTAACATAGAAAAATATAAAATATAAATTTAAGATATAAAAAAATTAAAATGTAGAAAAATTGTAACCAAATTGGATTATAATTATAAAAATATATCTAAATTGAAGGCTGGCTAGCGGCATGTACCTTGGAGTGAATACTTGACACTCAAAAAGAGATTCGACCAATTTGCATGCCCTATGGAGATCGCAGAATAAAAAAATAGATGGCAAAGTAATAAAAAAAATATGAATAAATATAAATGTAAGTGATTTAATATGAAAGTTGCTCTAAGATGTGAGTGGGCGCTAGGAAAGTATTAACAAATAAACCTTCTACGGTATCTTGTAATGCTGTATACCCTTTTTGATGAAATGAAAAAAAAATAGGTATTAATTGAAATAGTTTTAACAACAAATTTACTACTTAACCAAATATACACAGTTTGTCTTAATTCTTTATGCTACCCACCACCACTTATGTACAGTTAACCCAGTTATATACAAAAGGATTACCAGATTATACACAATTTGTCTATGAATTTAAATTTACTGAAATTTACTCGCCTACTTGGAATGCAATTATCCACATCGGATTTCAATTAAAAGTACTAATAAAGTAATATGGACACTCTATGCTGATGGGATAGATGCCAAAGGTTTAAATATAGAAAAAAATACCAATAACGACCTCTCTGATTAAATGTGTACACAAAAAAACCGTACAATAAAGTTCATAGGCGGTGGACAATTAGTCCTTAAATATTATTTTATAATATTAAAAAAAAAGATAAGGAGTCTTCATTATTATAAGAAAGAATATTCTTTAAAGTTAGAAAAATAATATAGAAAATTATTAAAATTGCTGGATAAATAAACCAGTACAACTTGACAGTGTTCCACACTCTAATCAATAAGTGAGGTCCTTCTGGCTGGTTTACTGAAATTGTCCGGGAATAGTCTGGTAGAGATCTGGACCTCTAAGCTAACCCTTTTTCTTTAAAAAAACCCAAAAAAAACAGAATAACGAATTCTTTCTCTTGACTCTAAATTAACTCATCGAGTAGGATGAAAAGAATCTTTGTGTTAGCGTTCCTTTTTTAGTCTTGAGAAAAAGTAGGGAAAAACACAATGTTACTAAGGGAACCTTTGTAACCTTGTATTACTATTGAAATTTAATACAAAAAATTACTAAAGAACCTTGTATTAACGCAAAAACCTTAATGGTTTTGGAAAAATGCAACCTTTGAATGGTTTGAAAATATTTTATGTGATATAGATTGATTAAATAGATAATTTTAACAAAAAGCATGCTCTGAATTCTTAATGAAATGATGTGAAAAATGGTAGATATACATAATATCAACTGTCAAAAAACAAATGACAATATTTTAGAAATCAAAATGGCTGATAGTCTTTATACTTTTTTCCCTTTTTTCCTAGCGCATCCATGGGCCGCCTACTGAGTTAACCTAACATTACTCATCCCCAGTCAGAACAAGACTCTCCACGAGTCGGAGAAGCATGTACATAGTTTTTTCTACTCTTACTAGTAAATTGTATATTATCTACTATTTGGATGCTAAGTAAATACATCAAAACAGATACTGACACGTAATGACTAGCACGTAATAAAAAAAATTACGCTTCAGTTTTATAAAAAATGTGTTATATCACATAAGCCTCGTAAGTCAGTTGGTCGAGTTACCATGGAAACGAATTAACAGACGTTATTTTGACAGAATTAAAATTATTATTATGTCAGTGTAAATCTAGTGGTAATTTAATTTTTATTTGTATAAACGAAAATAATCGTAGAAAAAGTATAGTACAGAACTTGAGTTGTAAGCTTATTACATGCTTGTAATATTATTGCGCTCGCCGCTACGCGGCTCGCGCGAAACTTTTTTACTCGCATGTAATAAACTTCTTACAACTCTCGTTATGTAATAAACTATTATAAAACTGTCGCTTGGAGTTGCTGCTTAATATCAACTTAGAAATTAAAACTACTAAGAGATATTTAATTAATATTGATTTAAATATTTTATTTAAAAGTGATAAAAGGACTATTGAAGTGACGGACTCCTTACACTTCCTCTCAAATAGGTCGGGAATTTTTTAAAATTACTAAAAACATCGTTTTTTTTTTGTAATTTTTTTGTTTAAAACTTTACAGTAATTAATTTTGAAGAACAGTTATAATGCAATAAAATAGCAACAATTTAAGTTTCTGGTTGGCTAATACTGTTTTATTAGCCTGGCTGCAAAATAGCAATGAATATAAAAAGAGCTGACAAACCTTTTATTATTTAATATTTTTCAACTACTTAAGACCTTTATAATTCGTCTAGAAAATCTTTATAACATATAAAAACGCACTTATCCTAAACGTACTTTATGGAATTAAAATCGGATTATTTGGACGGCCTTAGGAACGTTTTAGCAATTTTTTTTTTATTATTGAGTTAATGACTCGACAACTATGATCATTGGCATGGTACAGTCAGATACCTAGTGTAGTGTGTGTGTATGTGTAGAGTAATTGTCTTGATACTTAGCAAAGTCGACGTCATTGTCTTTGCTAAGAGACGCTAATTGTATCCGAACGTCTGCGGTCCCTCCGGTGAGTACCGATCGCACATGGATAGAAATTATTTTCATTCATTAATTTTTAATAATCAAAAATTTCTCCACCAAGATGGGATTCGAACTTACGACCTTTAGGTTTAAAGGTAGGCGCTCTTACCACTGAGCCACAGAGGGAGTGTTTTAGCAATTTTAAATGTGTTATTTAAGTGTATTTAAATATGTTATTATATTTTAATATTTTAATTATGGCTTATAATAAGCTTACTAAATTTAGGAGACGGCGTTGAAAAAGACTCAGCAAGAAATTTCTTATAAAAGAAAAAAAAAGTTGAACTACGAGCATTTGTTTTTGAGATGTCACTTGTCAAAATTGAATGGTATTTACGACGAAGTTATTAACAATTATTCCATTTTACATAAAATATTGTTAACCATTAAAAGATCACATTATTTACAAAACCATTAAGGCTCTTTGGTTTTATACCAGGTTCTTCAGTAACTTTTTGTACTACCTTTTAAGGTTAATAAACCTTCTGTTTTTCCTACTTTTTATCAAGAGTAAGAAGGAACTCCAAAATTTTTTTAGCCTACTAAAAGAGTCAAGCAAAATTCAAGGAAGAATTCCATTTTTCTTTTTTTAGTTAAAGAAAATAAATTAAGTTATTTCCTACTGGATTCACACTTGATCTCCAGAGTTGATCTTCTTCATCCTTATCTGTTTCTTTAGTGGTCCAGATTTCTACCCGACTATTACTGGACAACTTCAGGAAACCAGCCAGAAAGACCTCCCTCTTTTAGAATGTGGAACACTGTCAATTTGTCTTAAGTTTTTATTTATCACTATTAATAATTTCCTATACTTATTTTCACTGTAGATCATACTATTTCTTTTAATAATAAAGACCAGTCATTTTTAAAAGTAATTCAATAATATTTAGGTACTAATTTTCAACTATGGTTTGATGTTTTAAATCCTCCCTATTAACTTTATTGTACGGTTTTATGTATACATATTTACTCAGTTCTTTATTGTTATTTTCCTTAATATATTATATTTATACCTTTGGCACCTATCCCTTAAGGATGGGAGTGTCCAATTTACTTTTAGTATTACTTTTAATTGAAAGCCGTAAATATATTTACATATATATTATATTCATATAATTTTTTGATTACCTTGTCATTCATTTTCTCATTTTACGGTCTTTGTATGGCATGTAAATTGGCCGAATTCTTTTTTGAGTGTCAAGTAGTCACTTTCCGGTACAGTCCACTAGACAGCCTTAAATTCATTTGTTTTTTTTTTAGGCCGTTATACAACACGTAAACTTTTAAATTTTATTATAATCTATACAAATTGTTGTGTCCGTACGCACTTTGTAGATATCTTGACTATCTTGGTTGATGTCTTTAGAATTGATAGGAATATACTTCTAATATGTAAATTACATCATATATTTATGAAAGCATGTAGTACAATGAATATAGGTTAACTTTCCCGCAGAAAATGACAGCATGTCA